AGAACCCAATACCCCTTAACTAAGGACTAGACCCTTAAATCCTAATATTATAAGGGCCCCCTATAATTTCAGGTACGATTCCTCAGTTAAGGAATAGACCCTTACACCATAATTGTTTAAGGCCCTTATAAAATTTCCTTGATGAAGGTGTATTGGGTTCTCGGGGGACCCTGAAGTGGAACCAGGCCGTAGAGCTGGTGAACAGCGACCGATGTCAAATGCAGGCCGTCGGCAAGGCCGGAAGACTCGGGGCAGACTCTCAAGCCTTGAACTTAGGGTCCCAAAAAGGACAGGAGCCTAAGCATTTTACAGGGATATCCCGACCTCATTGGGCTTCATTATAAGAGGGTATATATGGGATATCCCTATCCTACTTTTCTATGGACAGCATCCCGCCTGAACCCTAAACCCTACGCGTCCATGGGCGAGCCGTAACCTACCCGCGAAGCAGCACTTCGTGAAAGCACACTTTGCATTTCGCGGGGTTCTTAACGCTACGGTGCCTTTCTTCAGGGTCCTGTAGTGCTGGTTTGGGTCTATATTTGGCGCTTCACACCTGGCACAGACTCGTGTTTTACAAGCGCATCCCAGCGTGGCATAACCCCAACAAAGGTCTGAGGGATGTTATTGTGCTTGTTCTTCTTCTTAATATAAATCCTGCCCCAAACTTTGGGAATGATGGTACATTCCTTATTGTCGGTAATGCAGGATTTATATCATCAACCGTGTTTTTCAAACCCTCACAAGTGTTGCATTATTGCAGCTCGACCCTTCCAGCTGGGACCTGAGGGGTCGCAAGGAGGTTAGGGCTTAGATGAGGCTGCTTGTGCCGAATCCGGATCGCAAGAAGCCCCCTAAACCCCCAAAGCCCCTAAACCCCTACACCCCTTAACCCTAAACCCCTAAACCCTAAACCCCTAAACCCTAAACCCCTAAACCCTCCCTTTTTTCCAGGCGGCCGTAGAGTCCCTGTAGAGGTGGTGGAAACTTTTTCGGAACTCAAAAGAAGGCGGCACCCACCCTTATGAAAGGAGCCTGAAAGGGACCCTAGGTTTGGGGTTCAGGGGTTTTGGGTTTAGGGATTTAGGGGTTTAGGGGCTTAGGGTTTACAGTTTTTGGTTTAAGGGTTTAGGGTTTAGGGTACCTTTATAAAAGGAGCCTAACTTTAAAAGGGACCCGAACATACCGAACTACCCGTTATGGTGAACTCCAAACAAGTTGGAACATGGATTTAGGATGATTAGTGCTGGGATCTGGGATTTCCTCTACTCTACCCTTAGGGCATGAGGATAATGATGTTCCAACTTTCTGGCTTCTACTGTAGTACTTTTCAGGAAACCCTAAGCCCGAGAATCCTAAACGTAATCGAACACGCTTTTCCAAGTGCCAAAGCCAAGTTTCGTGGGGGTGTCAGCCGCCTGGACACTGGCAGTAAGATGAACCAGAACATCAGTGATCTAGAAGCATGAGTAATATGGGGTCCTTAATAATCAGAATAGGGTGTTGGGGCGCTTTATACTATAACCATAGAAAGTAGGTTATTATCGTGGCCCCTCTAGTGCTTAACTTGTTGGTCATGTTTTGCGTCCCAGATCACGAACATGTGGGCTCCAAGCTAGAAGTGCCAAGCACCCCGCCCCACACTTTAAACCTTACCAAGAGGGTCATTGAGTTGATGATATAAATCCTGCATGACCCATAATAAGGAATGTACCATAACTCCCATGGTTTAGGGTCCTTAAGGTACTGCGGAAATCATCAACAGTACCCTACCCCTGTTTTGGGGTACCTGGTCTTATGGTCCCCAGCACTGCATGGGCCGCAAGCATGAGCTTTCATTTCCCAGAGAAGCCAATACCCCTTACTTAAGGAATATACCTTGAATCATAAAATTATGGCCCCTATAGTTTAAGGCATATTCCTTAATTTAGGTGTCTTGGGCTCTCTGGGACCCTAACCCTAAGCCCTAAACCCTAAACCCATTTCATGGGAAGGTTGTCGCCATCGCCATTGATAAGTGCGATGGCGTGAATGTCTTCCTCTCAAAGGTCGGGGCGCCCGCAAACATGAGAAGTCCTTCAGAGAGCTGTTTAGGGTCTTTAGGGGTTTGGGGGTTTAGGGTTTAGGGGTTTAGGGGTTTAGGGGTTCGGGTGTTTAGGGTTTAGAGTTTAGGGTCTTTAGGGTTTAGGGTCTCTATGGTCTTTAGGGGTGTAGGGCTTTAGGGGTTTAGGGTCTTCAGGGTCTTTAGGGTCTTTAGGGGTTTAGGGGTTTGAAGACCCAACCCTGAACCCCCCCACAGATTTCCGGGTTCTAGTTGAAGGTGATTTCATTTAAGATGCTATAAGAGGGATCTATAGTCTATAGTTAAGACTGGGGTTTCCTTACTATGGCATTATGGTAACTTAGATGAAGCTCTTGTTAAAAGGATAGTATTTTGGATTCTGTAAGAGGGATCTATATTCTATAGTAAATAATGGGGTTCCCTTATGATGGTAACTTAGATCAAATCCCTAACACGAGCCCAGCTCTTGAGGCCCAGACCTTCAAGCTCCGGGCTTAACGCCTCGGGGTGTCGCGCTCCAACATTTCCAGCCTGAATCCTGACGCAACGTTTAGGGGGTTTAGGGCAGTGTAGGGCTTAGGGTTCAGTGCAGTTTAGGGCAGTTTAGGGCTTAGGGCTGAGGGCTTAGGACAGTTTAGGGTTTAGGGCTTAGGGTTTTTGGGGGTTTAGGGGTTAAGGGCGTTTAACTCGAAGGCGCAGCCCTCTCAGCTCCGAAAACGAGTGATTCTAGGGCTCGAAGATCTTCGAATGCCATCGGTTCGGGAGTCAATCGGAGGATCCTGGAACTTAGAAAGTAATAGGGTTTAGGGTTTAGGGGTTTAGGGTTTAGGGAAACTATTACATAAACTCGGTGCCCAAAGTTTTTACCCTAAGTGGGATCATTTCCACTGATAGCCCCACTTCTGGCCCACTTGGCCATCTTTCTGAGCTTTTAAGAGGTATCGCCTGAGCTCCCATTTTGTTGAGGAGTCTGTGGGTGCTGAGATCACAGCCTCCAAGTCATCGGAGATGAATGCCCGGAACTCGGTGGTGACGGCATCCTTTTTTGCAGAGGGCGGGGTGCGATTGAAACTTGGAGGATGCATTATCAGGATTCTTCGATACTTGGTATGTGGCTGGCAAGTAGAATTTGTTGACACTGTCTGGTTTGGAAGATTCGGGTCGGGCTGTAGCAGTGGCATAGTCGCCTGAAGCTCGCCAATGAGTAGGTGGTTTGCCTTGGTGATGTTTCCTCCGTCTTGAGGGACGCAGGATGTCAGCATTCAACGAAGGGAGGGGGGTTGGAATGCCAAGCGATTGTCCGAGAGAGGTTTGAATCAAGGAGAGACTCGTTACGGGAAGTTTCTATGTGTTGTGTTGCGCGATCGTTTCGGTTTTGTCGTCATCATCACCATCACCATGGGTCATGATTCCGTCATCATCATCATTATCAAACAACGGTTGCCATCATCAAGTTATTTGCTCATGACTTCTGCCATTGGCGTTGCTCGTATATGCTGTCAGGTGCCTGGCATTGTATGGACTGCTCACATCCAGAATCGTGTCACGAAGCCGGGATGCGCAGGAACGCGAAAGCGGATAATCACGAACCTAGTCGCTTTCACGCAGCAAGCAAGGCATGAGACATGAGGGACTTCCTCCTGTGTCGCACGATGAGGTCACGATTCCTGATCCGGACGGAGAGGACCAGTCGATGTTGCATCCTCCTGCGCAGCCACAGCATTCTCGGTGGCAGTTTCCTGTTGCCTGCAACCAGCAGGCCATCCGCAAGTCCAGAAGTTGATGTCCAACGATGGTTCCCTGCAACTCTATGCCCTAGGCACCTTTTGGAACTTCCAGGGGTGGTTGACAGTGGTCCAGCCGCAACGGTCGTCCTTGAGATCAACCCCATACGGAAAGTAGCCCTACTAGCACCCTGTGCCATCTAGAGCGGGACGGTTGAAGTTTCGAGAACGCATGGCAGACGAGATCGCCTGACGAACAGCATCTTGCAATCGAGTCAGAATTTCGTGCTTGCAGCCATATGGGCACGATGACAGACTCAACCTCGGAAAGTTCAGACGAAACTTCCGAGATTTCAGCTACTTTGTCCAGTCGTTCTGATGTTGCTCGGTCGATATGGCAACGATGGCGGCCTGGACAATACTTTGCGGTCTGCATCGTGACCGGCGCAGCTACAGCTTTGCTGTTCCCCCAGCAGCATTCTGAACTCGTCGGCGGCATTGTTACTGACCCATGCCGTGATTTCCTGGGCATGTTTTTCTTCTGCGGGCTGATGCTGACTAGTCTTGCAGCTGGTTGTGCGGCGGCCTTCCTGGGAAAAAGGGCTGCTGCCTCAGCTCACGCAAGGCTGGGTCCCTGAGTGGTACCATTTTGCCCTTTTTTATTTTAGACTAACCCTTACTAAAGCCGAATAGTAGGAAAAAGGGTACCCTTATTACAAAGAGGCTACTTTTTGAACCAAGAAGGTCAGCTTGTGGTTATGCTGTCGTGAACTGGTTGCAAGCCATACTGAGCTCAGTGAGCTTGCACACAGTGAACACCGATTGTATGTACGGTGTCGTGCAAGAGCATCAGTATGCACCTCTCGTACTATGCAGACTGGGGCTCTACGTAACGGGCTCCTTCTGGATACAGCTGCTTATAGCTTCGAGACTCGAGCTCCTAGAGAAGTCCTCCCATCGGAAATTCCGGAGTGGATGCATGCGGAAGCTCATCTTTGTGCAACAGGCGGCCTGTGCCACGGTGATTGCAACCTCGGCAGTTTGCTGTCTTGCTGCAGGGATGTCTTGGACTTCGGATGGGGTGCTACACATCATCATCTGGGGAGTGTCCCTGACCATGTCTTGCAACGTGGCGGCGAGCTTCGTGGCAATCTGCTCGCTGATCCAGTGCTTCCTGGAGATGAGAAGGGTTTTGCACGCGGCAGAGCTCAAAGACACTCCCGTTGCTGCGTTGTCCGCTTTAAGACAGGCCCGAAGGTTTGCTGCCCTGCAAGTGATGGGCGTAAGCTTCCGCATCGTTTTTACGATCTTGGTAGTTCCAGCAGCCATCTTGGGCTACCGGGACATCCAGCTCCAGGTTGAGCTTGTCTGGGTCATCTTCTTCGTCCAGGCACTCTATTTCCTCGGGAACGCCGGCGCCGTGCTCTTTCTCTCTGGCAGCCACCGTCTACCAAAGGTCGAGATGGGCCACGGACAGTGTGGCTTTTTTTGCTGCCCTGAGCCCAAGGCCTCTGCGAATGCCCAAAAGGCAGAGCCCAAAGACAGCGAGTGGAGCCCCGGGTGGCTGGCAAAAGTGGAAGAGCTCTCACTGCGGGGCATGACCTTACGCAGCCTACTTCATTTCTACCAAGACCAGCTTCCTTACATGGACTGGCAGTATGTGCCCAGCGTGCACAAGACCAGAGACGTCGTCCGCAGGGCGATCATCCCCCTGACCTCAGAGGAAGAGTGCGCCTACGCAGTCTCGAGTCTGAACAAGGACGGTGCTCAGAGGGCCGGTGTTATGGTGACCCACAACTGGGGCAACTCTTTTAAGGACTTGCTGGCAGCTGTGATCTCCGATGCTCTTAAGGAGTGCAGCTTTAACCTGGCAGCAAAGTTGCTGGAGAAAGACAGCATCCTCCTGTATGAGATGTTGGCTCAGAGCGGTCGCTTGGATGACACCTATTGGGTTTGTGCGTTTGCGGTGAACCAGCACATCACGATATGCCACACCAATTATTACGACCGCGATCCGCTTACAGATGAGCTGCATCCAGTGTGCAGCTGCAGCAGCACGAACGTCCGCGATCTAGATGGACGAAATGCCCTTTCAGAGATCAACAAGTTCGATGACATGATGTATCACCTTGCAGCAACTGGAGGTTGCAGGCAGGTCATTGCAGTTGATCAATCTCTTGATCTATTCAATCGCGCCTGGTGTGTCGCTGAAATTGCAGAGGCCAGCCGTCTGCAAATGAAGCAGTCGTTGAAGCTTGCGTCCAAGGAGACAATTTTGCGGTGCGCATGCAGTCTAGAAAACCTAGACGTCCGTTGCATGCGCGCATCTTGCGAGACGGACAAGGCGCGCATACTCAACAAGATCAATAGCAGTACGAATATCGACCAGTTCCTAGGTCCCTGAGTAGTACCCTTTTGCCCTTTTTGTTTTAGGGCCCCCTTACAAAACCGAATAGTAGGAAAAAGGGGTACCCTTATTATAAAGAGGCTACTCAAGAACCAAGATTATATGACTTATTTTACATTATATATTACCCTTTTTTGAGTGGTACCCTTATAGTATGAAGAGGCTACTCAAGAGCCAAGGTTCAACACCGAGCTGCAATCTCTGATTTTCGACCCGAAGTCGGGCCTTCTGGCATCCTGGCATGCCATGGACAGATTCTAGGTCCCTGAGTGGTACCCTTTTGGCCCTTTTATTTTAGGCTAACCCTTACTAAAACCGACTAGTAGGAAAAAAGGTACCCTTATCTTAAAGAGGCTACTTTTTGAACCAAGGTTTGCAGCAAATGGGAGAAGTGGGCCGGCTGATTCGGTGGGGGCTTGCAGATGCAGGCACCGGGAAGGTATGGAAAGCATGGGAAGCACAATCCTAAGACTTCAGAGAACCCAATACCCCGTAATTAAGGAAGTATACCTTAAATTATAGGGGCCTTAACACTATGATTTAAGGTATNNTCCTTAATATTATGATTTTAAGGTATCTATTCCTTATATTTAAGGGGTAGATTGGGTTCTCTGGAACTGGCACGCTGGAAAGAGCACCCCTCCTTTCGCAGCCCGGTCACTTGCTGGTCCTAGGCGTGCACGGGGGGGGGGGGGGGGGGGG